CCACACACACACACACACACACACACACACACACACACACACACACATACAAACACACACACATATACAGAATCATAAACAAAAGAATAACCACACCCAGAGCAAAAAAAAAGAAAACAACTTGATATATCTCTAAACTTACAATTTTTCCAGGGAACTTAAAATGAATACATAACAGTAAAAAAACCAAAACAAAACAAAACAAAAAAACCCCAATCAAACTTCCCTCCAATGTACAAGGTACTTACTACTGAATTTTAATTTGCTATATCTCTTAACTTACAATTTTTCCAGGGCAGTACTTTAGTAAATACATTACGGTAAACAAAAATAAAAAAGAACAATATACGAGGCACCCACCACTGAATTTGCTCTTCTCAGACATAATACTCATGTTGTATATAGATGTCTGCTTGGGATGCAGGGCGACATAGGCCCCGTCTGGCACCTGCAGAAGCAATAAAAGCAGAGTTATGAGACCATTGTGAAAGAGGTGCTTGAAGGCAGGAGATCCACGGGAAGACAAACAGTAACAAGGATGGACAACATAAAAACATAGACTGGTCAGGATATAGCAGAATGTGCAATGGCAGTTCGTAACCGTGAAGGATGGAGGGTCACTACATATCAACCTCTGAAAGATGGCACCTCCAGGTATAATGGAATTAAAGTATTGTTCCATCGGCAAATATATCAATAAAAAACAATCAGAATCATTAATGTCATGAAGCCCGAAGGCATAACAAGGCAAAATGACAGATGTCATTTTGGGAGTGTCCTTATTAAGGAGGGAAAGGGGGTTGCGTTGCATTCATACTCATCGAAGTAAGAGACTGTTCCACATGGGAATCGGATCATGAACTCTTCGGAAAGACATTTTATTTAACTTTTCCTCTGCTCTCCTTGTAGTGTAAACAAGTACAACGCTAGAGAGGGATGGAAATGGGCACTCCAAAAAAATAATCTGAAAACCTAATGTGACTGCCACACTTTTAATTTTCATCGAGTTCCTGACTTCTCTATCCTTTTAAGGTTGGTTCGTTTTTTTTTTTCTCAACAGGAAGAGCACAAAAATCTGAAATCAGAGAAAATCTGTGACATTTACATCCTTGATTAGGTGATAGACGAACAACAGAAGTGTACATATATATCACTTTTACATTTTCACTTTAACCTGGCCTATCCTCTACCCCACCGACACAGTCCATAAAACACTTCCTTGCTCACAAATCAAACCCACGACTTCTTCATACCATGGTGAGCGGCCTCACTCACCACTACACCGGAGCCACTCGTGTCACCCACCTTGTAGTGACTGAGCGTGTTGAGCCTGCGACAGTCTCCCTCCGACTTGGTGGTGTGGTCCTCGTCGTTGAGCACCAAGCGCTTCGTGTCCTTGTTGGGGAATATCTTGAGTGGGACCTGCGACTTGTGCTCCCCGACGATCCACTCTGGCGGATGATCAAACAAGACTGCTCCATTGTAGAGGGGGGGGAAGGCGTGGTGGTGTTGGGCGGAACGAGAGGGTGGGCGAGCGAGCGGGCGGACGAACGGGCAGGCAGTCGAACGAACCAAGAGGGTTGGGTGGGTTTGGGAGCGGGAGGTAGGGTTGGTTGTGGGAGAAATTGAACCCACAAACAACGCAAAAAAAAAAATAAAAGGAAAAAAAGAAAGAAAAACAAAACACAACCTCTGTTACGGTGGAGCCTCCCAAATCTGCAGTGTGTGAGCAGTGAAGGTTTTTGGTTATGGCTAATGCACCAGAGTGACCACTGTGGACTGACTTTTGCTCTGCCTCAAGCTATCAGAAGATTCCAACTATCCGTACCATCTCTTACACTTAACTCTTATATAATTCGTACTCTGAGAAAACTACTGGACCTTACAATAATCTCTTTTGTACAGCGCTTAGAGCCTGTAAGGGATTAGGCACAATATAAATTCCAATCATTATTACTATTATCATCATAATTATTATCACCACCCCC